CTAATAATACTTATGTTCTACCATTTGGGCTAAGTTCACTAGAGCTTTGATTTGTTATGTGCAGATAAATGGTTTCACATTTGAACCTACTCTTTCCTGGGTGATTCATGATAAGAGTTGTATTCAGAATGACTTCAAAAAATATGAACTAATATCTGTCAAAGAAGTCGAGATCCATGGCTACAAAGACCACTGGCATGAGCTTGATATAGTGGAGTTCTTTGTCTGTCATGCACGATCTCTAGAGCGTTTGCTTTTGAAGTCTCCTAGAAACCCAAAGACCAAACGATTTGAAACTGATGAGAGAAGGATCAGTTTCATAAAAAGTAGCATGTCTCCAAATAAAGGTCTCATAAAGTTTATCGAAGGTTAAGTTCTGGTGCCCAAGCTTGTCAGACTTTAAGAGATATTCAGTTTATGTTGTTTATTTTTTTTTTAATGATCTTTTTCCGGATTTGAACTCTGTTGTTCTTGTTCTTTGGATATATCCTAGATTTGAACTCTATTTATTTTTGGTTTTAAGAACGTTAATTATGTCATTATCTTCTCTTGCTCATATCTGAAGATCATGGATATTGGGTTACTGTTTTTGCTCTTGAGAAGATTATATAATTAATCTTTTATCTTATATATTTCAACGAGTTGATCATGGAAACGACTTAGCAAAAGTGACGTCTCCTAACGTTTTTATTGTAGTGTTATATCAAGAACTTGTAGATATAATAGTTTGTACTAATGCCGTCTTTGTGTCATCACCAAGCTTTGACTTGTTGGTTTTGTGTTTCTATATACATTACCTATTTTCCCTCAAACCACACATAATTTATCAATAAATTTTGTTCTCTTTCAAAAGTTCAAATTAATATTATGTATGCAAAAAATTGATGTTTTTATATGACTGTAAGATTGAATTAATGTATATGAAAAAGATTTAAAACAAAAAAAATATTAAGGGGGGTAAACATTTATCTGATTACACAAATCAGATAGAAGAAAAGATAAAGAAGAGAAAGTTGTGTGTCATTGAAAGGCTTGTTCATCTAACCAACCTCTACATGACAATTAGATGACCGTATATTTTATCATACACATAAACAAAAGACTATTTCCCTAAAAACATATGGCTTTTTGACAAATTAACTCATTAGAATTTCATTAATGGTAATTCCATTAAAGGGTCTTAAGTAATTTTTAAAAATTAAATTTAATAAAAAACCAGTTTGACACTTCCAAGACCCCACTTTTACTCTAAGACATTCTTAAAGTGTGTGTCCA